TGGTTAATTAGAGATATGAGTCTCATAGACTTTCCTGCCTGGGCTGGCTTTGAAGCTCTATCAGATCTCAGCTTCCTTAGTAGTATAAGCTACTGTCGTTCGGCTCAGCATATGGTATTTTTAAAGTATTATTCTTACTTTGTGTATCTGCTTAAAATCAGAGCATGTAATAAGATACTTTTTGTAACTCAGAGAAAAAGATATGAATGGTGAGGCCCATCTGGAAATTTTTGCACAGTATTTCAGCACTTTGAGAATGCTGATATAAGCCTGGTGCCTGTGGCTCAACCTGCAGTCCTAGCTACTCAGGAGGCTGAGATCTGAGGATCATGGTTCAAAGCCAGCTCTGGCAGGAAAGTTAGTGAGACTCTTACCTTCAAAAAGCCAGAAATGGATGGCTTAAGAGCTTTCTAAAAGTATGAGGTCCCAAGTTCCAACCCAAGTACTATTAAAAAAAAAATGAACTGGATGTTCATGGCTCATATCTAGAATTCCAGCAGTTTAGGAATGCAGGTCGGAAGGATTGTAGTCACAGTCCACAAGATCCCGAATCCACTGGTGGGTGGGTGTGGTCCCGGTGTGTCTGTCATCCCAGCCACACAGGAGGCTCAGATCTGGCAGGTGGAGGAAGGTCTACAAACCCATTGCAGCGGGAAAGGTTCTCCTGAGCCTGTCATCCCAGTTATGGTAGCAACTGAAAATAGAAGAATAAAAGTTTAGGTTCCCGAGGACAAAAAGCAAGACTTTATCTCCAAAATAACGGGGGCTAAAAATTAGGTGTGGAGGCGTGGCTCAAGTGGTGGAAGACCTGCCTACCAGAGAAAAGGGCTCTGAGATTCTGATTTGTAATTGAAAAGACACTCTTACAGGGCTGCGTTATTTGTTATACAGGAGGACGGCCACAACATAGGCTACCAGAGATACTAATTTGATTTTAGTAAGTTTTAATCTTTAATTTTCTGGTGCTGCTACTGGGGTTTGAACTAGGGCTTGGGTACTGTCCCTTAACTCTTCTTGATTAAGACTGGTGCTCTGCCACTTCAACCACAGCTAAACTCCTGGCTTTCGTGGTAAATCAGAGCTAAGAGTCTCACAGACTTTCTTGCCTGGACTGGCTTCAAACCTCCATCCTCAGATCTTAGCCTCCTGGGTTGCTAGTGAGCTTGAGCCCCTGGCACCTAGTTCAGTTTTTATTTCAGTTGAAAATTGGTTTGTATTTCATAATCATAAGAAAAGTGGGAAGTGGCGCTGTAGCTCAAGTGGTAGAGCGATCGCCTTGAGTTGAAGAGCTGAGGGACAACGCCCAGGCCCAGAGTTCAAGCCCCACGACCGACAAAAAAACAAAACAAAACAAAAAAAAAACTATATAAAGAAAAGTGTTGGTAAAGATGTGTTTTGTCAATTTTAAATACTAATTTAGCAACCTTTCTGCACTGTTGGCATAGTAAAACAGTGCAGCTGACATATGGAAGATTGGGAATGTTGGTTCCTCAAAAAGCTGAACCTGGAATTGTCAGAGCACAGCAATTTCACTTCTACATATGCCCCAAGAACTGAAGGCAGCGATCATTCACAGTGACCACAAAGGTGGAAATAAACTGAGGCCATCACGAACAGAAAACAAAAATATTTGTGCACAGTGGAGTATTATTTAAGCATAAAAAGAAATGCAGTTTCATCACATGCTGTGACACACATGAACCTAGAAGATATTATACTAAAGAGACTAAGCTAGACACCAAAGGAGGATAGTGTGTGATTTCACTTGATGAATTTAGTTAGACACATTATATACCCTGGGCTGTATAGTGAGGTTGTTCACCACTTCCTCCCCACCCCCAGAAAACTTCTATGGCAGGCTGTACATACTGTCAGAATTGGGCATTTTCTTTTTGTAATTCCCAAGTGAGTACGGAAGGGAACATTAAGATTGAACTGAGCGGGACACCGGTGGCTCACACCTGTCATTCTAGCTGCTCAGGAGGCTGAGGTCTGAGGATCGCAGTTAAAAGCCAGCCTGGTTGGGAACGTCCTTGGGACTCTTTATGGCCAGTTTAATCACTTGAAAACCGAAAGTAGAGCTGTGGCTCAAAATGGTAGAGCCTCTGGCCTTGAGCAGAAAAGCTCAGGGACAGTGCCCAGGCCTTGAGTTCAAGCCCCACAATTGGGTAAAAAAGATTAAACTGATAAGGTTAAGGAGAGGACCCTAAAAAAAAATACCAGTTCAGTATTTAATATTAACATGAGCTGGTAGTATTATATCTACAGTCTTCCCTCCTTTGCTCTCTTGTTTCTTAAATGAATAATTTTTCAGGCCCATGAAACCTAACCGTGTGAGTGCGTGTGTGCGTGTGTGCGTGTATGCGCGTGTGCGCGTGTGCGTGCGCCTGCCTGCCTGCCTGCCTGTGCTGGCGGTTTCCTGTGCATCACTGCAGTGGGTAGAGCCCTTGTCTGGCTAGTGTGGGACCCAGCACAGAAAAGAAGAAAGCATTACCTGTAGCTAATATTCCTGTCTTGTAGTTGGTGTTATACATACCATGTAGGCCATAAGAGAATAAAAGGAAAGTTTTGTAAATAATAACTAAAATCCTTAGAATATTGGAAAGCTGCTGTATTTTCTGCCTGGAGACCAGGCAAGGAAGGTCAACTAACAAAATACGAAGGTGGGTTGAGTGTCCAGGTCTTTGCTGTGTCAGTGCACTGCAGAAAGTGATAAGGAGGGAGGGCTCCAATAGTGACCTTAAAATACTTTAATCAGAGAATTGCAGACATTTCACCCTTATTTTGATATGTAGACCTAACATATGAAAGTCTTAATTTAGCCAAAAAACTTTGAATATTGCTAAAAATAAAATACTACAGAAATTGACCTGAGGAATGATCTTTTTGGGATACAGTTTCTAGCTTGCAAAATTTCAAGTTTAATGAAAACCAGTTTCACTGTCTCAGTTGCAAAATTGATCTGGATAATGTTCCTCTGGGGCCAATCAGTCATAGCAAAGAATGGGATTGATTCTTTAAAAACACTGGAAGATGAAGGTGCAGAGAGAGGTTGTCTGTTTGAGAGTGTTTTTAATGGAATAATTTGTTGAAAACAAGGGCTTGAAAATGTACCAATTGCATCAAACGTTGGCATTGTTTTCTCAAGAAAAAAAATGACATCAGTAATGTGCCGAGTGCTGTTACTTGGATGGTACTGAGGGGCGCGATTGTCTCACTCCCACCCCAGTCTGACTGGGCGTGTTATCAGAGGCCACGTGACGGTCAGTGCGTGGCTAGCCTGTCAGAGCCGCTCAGTGTGGGAGGAAGGGAATGGATGGATTGCTGCATCAGCTCTAGTTTATACTTGAGTTTGAGGTCAGGCAGGATAACATAGTGAAGCCCCATTTCCTGCTGTTGAACCCTACCTGCTCAAGAGGATCTTTTAAGAGTTTAGATCTGAGAACACAGATGCTATTCTTAAATGCTGAGTACAGGCAGGCATCACCATGTCTGGTTTAGCTTTGTTGTTATTGTTTTTGCCAGTCCTGGGGCTTGAACTCAAGGCCTGGGCACTGTCCCTGAGCTTTCGCTCAAGGATTGCACTCTGCCACTTGAGCCACAGTGCCACATCTGTGTTTTTCTTTGTATGTGGTACTGAGGAATCAAACCCAGGGCTTCATGCATGCTAGGCAGTCACTTTACCACCAAGCCACAGTCCCAGCCCTGGTTTTTGTTTTTATTGGTCGTGGGGCTTGAACTCAGGGCCTGGGCACTGTCCCTGAGCACTTTGAGCCACAGCTCCACTTCTGGTTTTTGAGTGCGAGTTTTATGGTGACTTTTCTGCTAGGGCTGGCTTTGAACTGTGATCCTCAGATTTCAGCCTCCTGAGTAGCTAGGATTGCAGGTGTGAGCCACCAAGTCTTACTATGTGTCCTAGGCTGGTCTCAAAGTATTCGTCCTCCTGCCTCTGCTGCCTCAGCTACCTGAGTGCTGGGGTATACAGATACACACCACCACACCTGTCTTTTTGACTCTGTGTTTTATTTTCTTCATGTATGTCTAAATGTATGCATGGGAGGACTTACATGGTTAGCTGGAAGTGTCTTGCTTTATGTTCATCCCCCTCATTTCTGGAGCAGTTGATAACAGGTCAATGAGCAGATTAGAAATAACAAACGAATCAGTGAACAGGATGTTAGATCTGAGAACATTGTGCAGAAAATTGCAAAGAGAAAAAAAACAGAAAATTAGAAGACAAACAGCAGTAAGTATCTAGTGAGGCCCTGTACACACAGATTCCCACACATAAATCCTACAAAGGAGATAATGAAACATAAGAGGAGGCAGTATGCAGAGAGAGAATAGTTTGAGTTTTCTTGAGTTGAGGAAAAATACTTAGAAATTTTGGTTTAAAATACACAGGTTAGGCGTTGATGAAATATTATAGTCGCAGTGTTTGGGAGGCTGAAATGGGAAGCTCAAGAGGTAAAGGAAATCTTGGAGAGCAGAGCAGCGAAAAGGGGCTCAAACACACTGATTCTAAACATGAAGCAGTAGAATATGATTTTATATGAGCACCATATAAAAGAAAAATACTGACTAAAAAATTAATGTCTGATGTGACGTTGCTTCTGGATGTGTAAGGCAATGGTAACCTCATGTCCCGCTAGCCAACACTATGTCCATTTAGGCTGCTACAATAAAATAACTTAAATGATATTACTCTATAAAACATAAGGTATCTGGCAAGTTCAGTCTCATGTTTGCTAGCAGTTTTGATGGCTGCTAATAATTTTTTCTCTGCCTTTAGATTAGAAGTTACTTAATTCCTGCGAACTACCAAACATCTGCAACGTGTGACGGAAGCATACCAGTTGGATAACTTGATTTTCACAGCAGTCTTTTTTGGTGATACTATATATTTACAAAGGGAACTCTGGGCCAGATGTAGTGGCTCATATCTGTAATCTCAGCTACTTGTGAGACAGAGATCAGGAAGCTTACAGTCAAGGACCAGCATGGGCAAAAAGCAAGAGCTTATCAATGAGCGTGGTGTGGTGGTACAGGGAGGCCATAAATAGGCGGGTCATTGTTTGAGGCCAGCAGAGTCAAAAGTTAGACATCTTACCAGAACAACTGAAGCACGGGGGAGGAACATCTCCATGGGGTATGGCTCTAGAGGTGTGCCCAGCAAACACAAGGCCCTGAATTCAAACCTCAGTACTACCAAAAGAAAAGAAAAAAGAAAAGTGGTACATGGTATATTAGCTGCACCTTACCAAATGAGAATAATGTCTAGATTCATATTAAAGATACTAATAAAATCTCAAGCACGATTTTATTCACCCAAAGTATTAGCAGTAAATTCTGGTGTTCTGTTTTGTTTTAATAGTATTAATCACAATGTAGTACATTTGATTTATTTCACTTGGTTTTTTTTTTTTTTGCCATTTTTTGTTATTATAAAGATGTGTACTGAAGTTCACTTTATTTCTTGAGATAGGGTCTCAAACTCTTGGAGTACTGGGATTAAAGGTCTGTCACCACATCTGGCTAATATTCAGCATTGTAATCCTATGGCTTGTGTTTTTATTACATTCTATCTTTGATTTTTCATTTTAGGATCGAAAGTTAACTAAGTCTGAAAGGCAGAGATTTAAAGAAGAGGCTGAAATGTTAAAGGGTCTTCAGCATCCCAATATTGTCCGGTTCTATGATTCCTGGGAATCCACAGTGAAAGGGAAGAAGTGCATTGTTTTGGTAACGGAGCTCATGACATCTGGTACCCTTAAAACGTGAGTCCATCCTTGATACGGAAGCTACGAGACATGGGCACATTCCTTACTCCTGCCCCTCCAGTTACACCTTTCTTGCCCAGCACGTAGAGGAGGGACTCCTCTTTCTAGCCATTGTGATGTGTGTTTCCCTACGCAAGTCCTCGGTGCTTAGTGATATAATGATTTATTGATAACTCTCTAAATGAGAAGGTATTGTAGAATAAACCTAGTTAGTGGAAGTAATACTGATTGGATGGCCAAGAGACCAGAAATCAGATAGCAAGATAGCCCTCTAGTGGTTAAAGTGAGTAAAGTGACATTGCAGTTTATTGATAACCCTTACTCTTTCTGTCACCTGCTACACCTGCAACTGTTATATTGGCTGCAAATTGTACTTTGATGATTATTACTAGAGAATACTTTTAAGCCCTGTTCCGAATAGCATCAGATCAAAGCTGATATAGTTAGACCTTTCGCCCTTTCAGGGAACTGGATAACATGCAGAAATTCCCTGTTATCTGTTGTCAACAGCTTTAGGTAAGAGTTGGAGTTGCAAGTTTTTTAGAGTATCTGTTTTTACAGGGAGGAGCTGTAAGTTACATGGTGTATACATTGGTTATTACGGAAGGACTGAACTTTTTTTTTTGGTCAGTCGTGGGCCTGGGCACTGTTCCTCAGCTCTTCAGCTCAAGGGTAGCGCTCTACCACTTGAGCCACAGCACCACTTCTGGCTTTTTCTGCTTATGTGGTGCTGAGGAATGGAACCCAGGACCTCATGCATGCAAAGCAAGTGCTCTACTACTGAGCCACCTTCCCAGGCCCAAGAACTGAACTTTTAAAGAGTGTTACAATACCATCCTCCATTTCTCCAGGTTATTACTGATTGAGCTGATTGACCCTAGGTATTTAGGCAAGGTATTTTGTCTCCTGGATATAGCAACGTGTGTGTGTGTGTGTGTGTGTCTGTGTGTTTGTGTGCGTGCACGCGCTGTGCCATTTCACACTCCTGACTAGCATGTTGAAAACCTGAAGATTATTTCTCACCTTCAAACCCTGATTTTTCTATCTAACTTCTCCAGTCCCGCTTATGGCAACACCTTTCTTCCTCCTGGCCACTCACACTTCTGTAATTCTCACACCTGTGTTCTGCCCAGCACTATAACTAAAACTTGAGGTAATACTTGAATGAATCAAGGAAAGCTGTAGATGTACACTTAATAGATATAGTATACCCAGGCTTCTGTATCTGCATCTTAAGTTTCTTTTCTCTGGTTTGGATATATCATTGGTTGTAAGCATCTTTCAGCAATGGTGTGCTGTTTAAAAGTCTGTAAAACCAGCTCTCTAGCAGGTAGAGATAGGAAGTTCACAGGTCCATTCCAGTCTGACAAAAAGTTAGTGAGAGCTGTGTCAAAGAACAAATTGCGTGTGTGGGAGCACATATGTGATCCCAGCTGTACCGAGCCTGAGCCCAGACAGAGCAGCACCCTCGCGGCAAAAGCAGACAGGCCTGGAGCATGACTTCTATGCACCTTGAGTTCCCTTTTACACGAAAGGTAGTTTACAAAAAGTGTGTTTAGAGGGTATTTTAGGTAACATAGGGTGTGGAGCCCCTGTGGAATAACTGACCTCCACCAGCTCACTAGCACGTGGAGTGTTCTGACACTGTTTCAATACCTATCCAAGCGACAGCGATAAAGGATCATCTCGGATAAAGATAAAAGAGGAGGTAACTCACAGAGCTAAAGCTGAAACAGGAGCCCATCCTTTCCTAGTCCCGGGATTGCAGACCAGGCAGTGTGAAGGAAGTGGGGACGTGTTACTGTCCAGGTAAGGATGAAGGCCCGAGAAGCCACAGAGAGAAGAATTGGAACTTGGCTGGTGTCCAATCCTGAATTATCCCCCGAGAGGGAAAACTGTGGCCCAAGCAGTGACAAGTACAGGGAGTTTGGCCTCTCTCCCTAAGACCAAAGATGAGAGCAAAGATGTCAAGAAAAACAAATTCCTGTCCTTTCTACCCCACTTGCCTGTCTAAATGAATGCTACTGGTGTTCCTAGTTCTTTTTCCTTCTTTGCTGGCACATGCAGATGGCTGTATAATAGAAATTTATACTGGTAAATTACACCAGTAAAGATACTATCCGTGAAAGCAGCTAAAGATACAAGTCAGAATGTGAGCCCATAAGTGCTAATATAAGGATGGCAGGGAGCATACATGGAAGTGTGTATAAGGAGAAAGAAAAGTCACCGAAGCCAAAAGGATGGAAGAGGACTGCATCACAAACAGGCCAAGAGCTCAAGGACTTTTAGGAATATCAACAAATCATTAGCTGAGTGCTTTTGGCTCACGCCTGGAACCCTAGCTACTGAGGAGGCTGAGATCTGGGGATCTCAATTCCGAAGCCAGCCCGGGCAGGAAAGTCTGTGAGACTTGAAGCTGCAAATGGAGCTGTGGTTTAAGTGGTAGAGAGCTAGCAGTGAGCAAACAGCAGCTCAGGGACTCAACCAGGCTCTGAGTTCAAGCCCCAGGAACAGTACCCAAAAAAGTTTTAAACACACACACAATGCTGTTTTTAATCAATTTTTTTCTTTGCTCTGTTCCTTTTTTTTAATCTCCATTTTTTGTATTTTATTAGTACATATTATAGTCATACAGTATATAGGGTTTTATTGTGATTTCCTTGTGTGTGTGTGCGCGCGCATGTGCGTGTGTATGTGCGCATGTGCGTGTGTGTGGTACTAGGGTTTGAACTCAGGGCCTTCCACTTGCTAGGCAAGTACTCCACCTCTTGACCCCATCCTCCAGTCCTATTTTGGTGTGTGTGTGTGTGTGTGTGTGTGTGTGTGTGTGTCTGTCTGTCTCTGTCTGTCTGTCTGTCTGGGGCTCGAACTCAGGACTTGGGAGCTGTCCCTGAGCTTTTGTGCTCAAGCTACCACTTTGAGCCATGTCACCATTTTCAGCTTTTTGGTAATTCATTGGAGATAAAAATCTCACAGTACTTTCCTGCCTGGGATTCCTTTGAACAAGGAACCTCATATCTTAGCCTTCTGAGTAGTTAGAATTATAGATGTTGGACACCTACGCCCAGCCGATTTTAGTGGTTTTTGTTTTTTGTTTTAGATAGAGTCTTTCATTTTTGCCTCTGGTTGTTCTCAGACCATGGTTTTTCCATTCCTCCCATCAGCAGAGCTGGGATTGCAGGTCTATTACATACACCATGCCCAGCTTATTTTGTTGAGATGGGGATTATTTATTTATTTTTTTTTGCTCATGCAGCCTTGCACTGTAATCCTCTGAGTCTTGGCCTCTTGAGTAGCTGGGATTTCACTGTGAGTTATCTTTTGGATTTAGTGGACTCACTTCCCATTTCCCTTTTGAAAGAAAGGGTCTCACTATGTAGCCCAAGCTAGCCCTGAATGCAATGTGTAAACCCCATGCTGGCCTTAAACACCTGATCTCCCGTAGTAATGGAATACAATCACTTCAGAACTAATTTTAAGGAATTCCTTTTGTGCTTTGTTCTCAGACTTTCTTACCAATTGCAAATTAAATATTTTTCTGTAATGTTTGGATCCTGCTAATGATATTGCCAACTTGACCACCTAGTTTTTAAAGGAAAAGCTGGTTACCTAATACCGTAACTGTTCAGAGGAAAAAGTATGGAGATGACTTTGTCTTTGAATAAGCCCTTTTAACCTTACCAAAAAGTATCCCTCAACTTCATATTCTCTTTTCTGGTACGCTAGAATTCAGTGGAATTCTTCAAAGCAGCAGTGCTATCAGTGATAGCCTTTTGGTGTTCTTTGCCTCTCGCAGGTACCTGAAGAGGTTTAAAGTGATGAAGATCAAAGTCTTAAGAAGCTGGTGTCGGCAGATCCTAAAAGGACTTCAGTTTCTACACACTCGCACGCCACCTATTATTCACCGAGACCTTAAGTGTGACAACATCTTTATCACAGGTCCTACCGGCTCCGTGAAGATCGGAGACCTGGGCCTGGCGACCCTGAAGCGGGCTTCTTTTGCCAAGAGCGTGATAGGTAGGTTTCCAGTACGTCCCGGAGCCTGGCTGGCCTTCTGATGTTACTTGTATTCAGAAACCTGATCCTGACAGAATTTTGGACGTAAAACTAATGTTCAGAAATTTATAGCTTGAGGTCTGGGAGGTGGCTGAGTGGTAATACAGCGCTTGCCTTGCAAGCATGAGGCCCTGGGTTCAATTCCTCAGCACCACACAAGCAGGAAAAGTTGGAAGAATAGAATAGAAAGGAAGAACTTTATAGCTTGACCCCCTGGTGCTGAATTCTGCTTATATGATGTGAGCTTCTTCTTTTTTTTTTTTTTTTTTGGTTGGTCGTGGGGTCTGAACTCTGGGCCTGGGCGCTGTCCCTGAACTCTTCAGCTCAAGGCTAGCACTCTACCACTTGAGCTACGGTGCCACTTCCGGCTTTTTCTGCTTGTATGGTGCTGAGGAATGGAACCCAGGGTCTCATTCATGCAAGGCAAGCGCTCTACCACTGAGCCACCTTCCCAGCCCATGATATAAGGTTCTTTACGTATCACTTCCTTCACTTGAAAATGGAATTTATATATAGCTTTTTTAAATGCCCACTAGATATATCTTCGAAAATGCCTGTTTAAAACTGTTTGAATATACAGATGACAGTTCATTCTGAAAAGCTAATTCTAACAACTTTTTTTTTCCTTATTCACACCCTTCAAAGTGATGTATCTAAAGCATACTTCTCAGTTTTATTCCCCTGGACATTTTGGAGTGGACACCTGGGAAGGGCTGGCTTGTACATCCTGGGGTTACTTAGCAGCATTCAGCACCTGAAGCATACCCTTTGTCCTCAGCCCCTGATGGCTACAACCAGATTGTCTCCGGACATCGTTCCCTCTTGATGTAGAACCTAGTAGTTAGTGAGCATCTGTGATGGGAAGAAGGAGGCAGGAACCACTCAGACTTCATTATGCTAGTCAGAGCCAGAGAAAGGAATGTCTGCTGTGATAAGTTTTCCTCGCCTCTAGTGGCTATTGCAATTTAAAAACCTGAAATCTTCACTCTCCTGTCTCTCTGAAGCGATAGAACAGCACCTAACAAACCCTGTTTTATTGTTGTTGTTATTATTATTGTCAGTTGTGGGGCCTGAACTCAGGACCTGAATGCTAACACTCTACCAGTTTGAGTCACAGCACCACTTTGGTTTTTTAATAGTTGGAGATAAGTCTCACAGGGACTTTTTCGCCAGGGCTGGCTTAATTAATCTCCTTAATAGCTAGGATTACAAGTGTGAGCCACTGGGCCCAGATCCATTATTTGTTAAATGGGCTAGAATCCTAAGTATATTAATAGAAAAGCCATAGAACACCAGTAAATATAAAAATCTGTGAAACAGTATTATCCTTGGAAATTTCATTATGTGTGTAATTTATTATACAACGAGTATTAAAATACTAATAAAACACTAACAAGAACAGTGAAAAAAAGTATTTGAAGTTGAATTTTATTTTCCCATCTTTACAGAAAACACTTCTTTGATTATCTGTGGCATCTTAGAGTTTTGATTTTCTTTGTCAAATTGACTAAACTTGTTTTTAGAGTAATTTGAGGTTTAGAGTCTTAACCATTTGGAAGCATTGTAAATGCTAGGCTTGTGGGATGATATACCCTTTGAGTTGTGTGTGTGTGTATATGTGTATGTGTATGTGTATGTGTTTTCCCGTGTTTGTGTTTATGTTCGTGTTCTACAAAATCTTCCTCACTAAAGTTCTTGTATCTTCAGTGAGGGATGGTGAGTTTATAAAGAGGCTCCAATGAGTGGCCTTATAGGCGGTTATATTATTATCTTTAAAACACACAGGAGCTGGGCCCCAGTGGCTCATAACCTGTAATCCTAGGTATTCAAGAAGCTGAGAGCTGAGAATCAGATGGACTATTATGAGCAAGTTAACTATATTTGTCTTACAACTACCATACACTAGAGGGCAGACAAGTGTTTAATTTTCTTAAACCAGCTGCTTGTTTTATTTCTTGAGACTGGGTCTCAAGCTGGTCTTGAACTCAGGATTTTTCTACCTTAGCCTTCCAAGAGCTGGGATGTTCCACTGCACCCCGTTAATCTGTCACTTTATACAGAGATGGGATTTTCATTTATCTCAGCCAGATCTCTGCTTTGACATATAACTAATGGGAGGGAGTTTCTTTTAAAGAGTGTATAAATAATCTGACCCTTTTTCAATTTCTTACAAAGGTCTTAGCATGAAAGATAGATCTATTAGATACATAATGGGACAGGCTGAAGTAAGGTCATTTTTTGTTTTCCTTCTTGCTTTTACCCTTTCTGATTTCGTCACCCTGAAGTCAGCTCTTTGCTTGTCCCCTGTAGTAACATCTGCAACTTGTGTGCTCACACTTAATTTTCTTAATTTAAGGTACTCCAGAGTTCATGGCTCCTGAAATGTATGAGGAGAAATATGACGAGTCCGTTGATGTTTATGCTTTTGGGATGTGCATGCTTGAGATGGCCACCTCTGAATACCCGTACTCGGAGTGCCAGAACGCAGCGCAGATCTACCGCCGCGTGACCAGTGTAAGTCTCCCTGGAACTGCAAAGGAAGACAGTCATGGAGAGCATGCTGGGTCAGGTGTGGGGAGGGGAGGGCAGCTGTCATGGGAGTGTGAAGAGGAGCCCACCTGTCCGCAGGACTTCACACTGGCATGGCAGGCACATTACCTCTAGAGCCCATCTCAGCCCTTGTTTGGCTGTTTGTTCTACTTCTGGTTTTTCCTGGTTAATTGGATATAAGAGTCATGTGGATCTTCTGGTCTCAGCCTCTAGGTCATTGTTCTGTGTGCATACACAAAAGCTACCTACTTGGACTCTGCGTCTTCATTCACTCTCCCTGTGAGCCCAACCCCTTCCCACTCGTGCTCACCCCTGCCACAAAGCCTGTTCTCCTTGCTTCCCCTACCTCAATTCCTTTCGATCACTGGGATTCTTTATGCTGTGTTTCACATACAGTTAGAGTGTATTTCTTTTTCTTTTTTTTTTTTTTTTGGGGGAGGGGGTCTAGTCGTGGGGCCTGAACTCTGAGCCTGGGCGCTGCCCCTCAGCTCTTCAGCTCAAGGCTAGTGTTCTACCACTTGAGCCACAGCACCACTCCCAGCTTTTTTTCTTTTTGCTTATGTGGTGCTGAGGAATCGAACCCAGGGCCTCAGGCATGCAAGGCAAGCGCTCTACCACTGAGCCACCTTCCCAGCCCAGTTACAGTGTATTTCTATATTTTCCCCTTTCTGTTTGCTTCCCCTTCCTACATTTCCCCTTAAGACCATGCTTTGTTTGTACACTTATATAATTATATATACAAGGGTCTATGTATATTCGTGTCCTTGAAGTATGACTTTTAGATCTAGCAAAAATATACTATATCTACCCTTTTGAGCTTATCTCAATATAACATTAAGTATTAATTTAAATATTAGCATAGTGGGTTGTAAGTGAGTTACTATTTTCTTCATCCCCTTCCCACCCCCCTTGTTCTAGTACTGGAGCTTGACCGTAGGGCCTGGGTGCTGTCCATGACCTTTTTGCTCAAAGTCTACCACTTGAGCCACAGCTCCACTTTCAGCTTTTTCAGTGGTTCATTAGAGATCAGAGTCTCACAGACTTTCCTACTGGGGCTGGCTTTCAACAGATATCCTCAGGTCCCAGACTCCTGAATATCTGGGGTTACAGGCCTGAGCCACTTGTGCCCGGCTTATTGGCTAATTCTTGTTGGTAGAAATTACCATTGTTAGGAGGATATATTTAGTAGTGAAATTATGTTGTCTTTTGTTCTGTTCTTTTGAGTGACATTTGCCTAAGGACATGCAAGAGAGAGAATAGAGTTAAAAAACAGATTTTTTTTTAACGTAACACTAACATAAACTTTAACTTTTCTTGTTTTTGTTTTTTCTTTGGTCGGCCATGGGGCTTGAACTCTGGGCTTGCACGCTGTCCCTGTGCTCTTCAACTCAAGGCGAGTGTTCTACCACTTGAGACACAATACCACTTCCAGTTTTCTAGTAGTTTATTGGAGATAAGAGTCTCAGGGACTTTCCTGCCCGGGCTGGCTTTGTACCAAGATCCTCAGATCTCAGCCTCCTGAGTAGCTAGGATTACAGGCGTGAGCCACCAGCGCCCGCTGGACTTTAAAGTTTTTTATTTTTTGTTCTTCCTTTTTTTTAACTCTGGGCCTGAGTGCAGTCCCTGAGCTCTTCAGTCCAAGGCTAGTGCTCTACCAATAGATCCTCAGCACCACTTCCCATTTTCTGGTGGTTAATTAGAGATAAGAGTCTCAAGGACTTTCCTGCCCGGACTAGCTATGAACTGCCATCCTTGGATCTCAGGCTCCTGAGTAGCTAGGGTGACAGGCCACTGGTGCCTGGCTTGTTCTTTTTTTACAAGGAAAACTTTGAAGGAAAACAGTTAGGGAATGTGTGTAACATAAGTAGAAGATACCCCAGAAAGAAAGATTTCAAAACATACATTCTGTATGGTCTTCATTTCACACAGAGAAACTGTATGGCTGCATCCTATACTTGTCTCCTTGGCCTAGTGACCTTGAAACCTGTGTGACTGGTGGAGGGAAGGTCCACGTGGTATAGTGGTGTACCTAGCACAAGCTTTTTCTGCTATTAAGTGCAATGCAAATGGCATCCACTTTTTATGTGAGCGAGGCTGGGGCAGGCATCAGCTCTCATGTATCCCGAGAGCAATGAGCCGTGGGTGATCCCGGACATACTTGTTTCCTTTGATAGAGGTAGCTCAATTAGGCAGGGTATTTTCCAGTGGGGTCATATGGTATGTTCAGATTCCTGTAAACTAATGGTTCGTGTCAGTAAGAATCTGGCCAAATCCAGCCCCGTAACAACCAAGTTAGAAATAATGGGGATTTTAATTACTTTGTTTGTGTAATTTGACTTTGTTACTGATTTGATTCACCTTTGGAGTACAAAAATTGAACCCTCTATCTGGGGAAAACTGGATTCAAGTCCTTAGGGTAAAATTCCTTTTTGTTCTTATATAACAAATTATAATTACTGTTTGTTTAACAGAAAGAAGTGAGACAATCCTGGCAGATAGTGTTTGAAGATTAAGGGACCTTACACGCCGTCTTGCCCGTGGCTTCTGGGGTCTGAGTCAGTCGCAGAGGCACGGGCCGCCCTACTGTGACTTAAGGTTGAAGGTGACGGTTTGGGCATCCTCTCTAATAATAGAAATGCTATAGAACAATTGTGACGTTCTTTAGAATTCTTCAGGACAGCTCATTTTATCAGTCCCAAATTTTGGTCAGTGATTCATCAGGCAATAGATAATAGAATAAAAACTTAGAGAGTAACATAGAAAGGTATTTTTTTATACTGCATTTTATATTCCAACTTGACTGAATATTCTGGTGTCTTGGAAGTAATTCCTGTGCTAAGTATTAAAAGATTCACAGAATCTTTGTAATTGCTGCCCCCCATGGTAGACTGTTGCATAACTTGAGGTAAACCCAAAAGAAGCCTACCACTTAACTGGCTAAAAAAAGAGAGAGAGTAGAGTCTTTTGCCAGTTGAAATGCACATCTGCTTGACTGGAGGGCAGTAAAGGCATACTGCCAGTAGGAACAAGGCTCCAGGACTCACTCAACAGGTGACCAGTTTTCCGGACACACTAAAGGTTCTGGTGTCTTGGAAATAAGGGTATTAAAAGTATTTATTCATTGAAGAGGTACCTAGTTTGGACTCTGGGGAGATGGGTAGAGATGGAGGGAGTCATGGAGTGAGGTTTTCCATTCCATGTTAAGGACATGAAGAAGCACAGAAGCATGAGCTAGAAACAACATTGACTCAGTCACCAGGAAATCTGGATTCTCACTTTGGCTGTACCAGTAATTAGACCCGTACCCCTGTTGGTGGCATTGTGGGTTGTAAGGGTGATGCAGTGTGGAGTAGTAGATGCCCAACACCCATTTAGTAATCACCAGCTGAAGACACAGATGGATTCTGACTTTGACATGGGCCACAGTTGTCTCCTTTCAAGTCTTATTTAAGTCTTTCTAAACATGTATTCCTGCATCTGTCTTGGAGATGTGGAAATAATCACTTACAATAATGTGATGTCAGATGACTGGCACTCACAGTTAAGTGTCAGCTGGGTGGGCCACCCGTGGTGTGGCGTCCTGTTCTAGAGAGGGTTGAACCAAGGAGGCACATCTCAAATGAGAGGGGGCTGAGAATACAAGGTTATGTTTTTGTGTATTGTTATTACAAAGGGATGTACAGAGTGTTACAGTTTATGTAAGTCAGGTAAAGAGTCCATTTCCTTTTGGTCATGGTCGCCTCTTTCCTCATTCTCTCCCAGTTTTTCTCTCTCATCCCCACCCACAAGTTGTACAGTTCATTTTCAACATAGTGGGTGTCCAGTGAGCACCCTTATTCACTCTCCACTTGTAATGTGATTTTGAGAGCTAGCAAGCCAGTAAAAATCTTATTTTCCTGGACAGAGATGTTTGGCTATAGGAGAAATAAGAATACCAATAGCAGAACTGTTTGCCAGCTGTTTTTGTAGCATTTATCTTCAAGAACTCATCGACAATCATAGTAGTTCTTTTTTTTGTTGTTGTTTGTTTTTTTGTCGGTCGTGGGCCCTTCTGGGCGCTGTCCCTCAGCTCTTCAGCTCAAGGCGAGCACTCTAACTTGAGCCACAGTGCCACATCTGGCTTTTTCTGCTTATGTGGTGCCAAGGAATGGAACCCAGGGCCTCATGCATGCAAGGCAAGCACCCTACCACTGAGCCACCTTCCCAGCCCTCATAGAAGTTCTTAAATGATCTGGGAGAAGAGACATCTTAGATGTCTCTCAGTACAGGTTCTGTTCTGGATCACACCAAGGGAGAAGTGTAGGAGAAGCCTTATGGCCTAAGCCTGTAATCCCAGAAACTCAGGCAGATGGAGGAGGGTCAAGGTGCCAGGGAGATCCTACCGGGGAAGAAAAATAAAACAGAAAGATGTGTGTCTCGAGGTAGAATGCTTGCCTAACAAGCATTTGGGTCCATGGGATCTACCTGGAAAACTGAAATGTGCTTATGCATGTGAAGGTTTTTCTTAGAAGGTAAAGGAAAATGACGTTTTCTTTGCACTTTAATATAAACACACACTCCGAGAGAGTAGAAGGCAGTTGAATTTCACCCTTGTAAAATGAGTTTGAGTTGAGTTCAGCTCACACTAACTAGTATATCATAGAGTGAAGTAAGAACTCAACCAGAGCATTATAAGGGCTGCCGGGTGTTCTTTTGGCTACGTGTTCTGAAATCACACGTTATTGGATTCGATCCCCACTTCAGAACCAAAAACCACAGTTGAATCTGATTTGGGCTCGGGGTGTTTTAGTAAAGGGGTTTCAGGTAATGCGCCAGGCAGGACTGAGGCGGGACGTGCTGTCATGAGTGAAGCAGGAGGTGGAGCTTTGAGGAAAGGGAAGTCTGCCTTTGCCTTTGCCTGGCAGGGGAAGCAGAAGGAGCCAGACGGGGTAGTGTCTCTGCCTTTCCGAGTGGAGTGTTGTCCACAGAGCCGACACAAAGCCACAGTTGTTGCCTGACAGGAGCGAGCTGGCGGAAGAGCTGGGTCAGCATGGGGCCCGTGCCTCCTAATGCAGGGCCATGCCTGCTCATGCTGTAGGCTGAGCTGCTCTACGGAGTTTTTATTTTCCCTTATTTTTTATTGAATTGGGAGTCTATTTATGGTCTTTCCTGATGGATTTCACAAGGAAAGATTTTTGCTCAGTATTTGTCATTGTAAATTCTCATTGCTGCTGTTGCCTGCAAAGAGATGTACATGAGGTAGGTAAGAATTTCTGGTCTATGTAAAAGGTGTGTTAGAACTTGCTTTTTTGATAATATGTATAGAGAGTTTTGGTAAAAGTACTGAAGTAGTTAACTTTAGAATGCCTTTTTTTGGCCGGGATGGAGGGGCGGTCGCTGTTTGTCAATTCTAAGTGGTTAGGAAAGGTTTGATGATTAGGGGGCGTGATGTTGTTATAAGCCCACTGTTCCAGCACTTGGGTAGATAGTGAGTGTGTGGCCAGCCAGGGTTTCACAGAGACCCTGGAGAGAGAGAAGAGAGGGAGGAAGTAAGGAGGGAGAGACAGAGAGATACTTTGAAATTGATCTAAATCTTATCCTAACGCATTTGAAACTGAAGCCTTTAAGAAGCAGAAACTTGGAGATTAAACCAGAGAATTCTGTATTATGATTCACTTCAATTAGTTGGCAAAGAAATCAAAGTCTATGAAATGTGTGCACATGGATTTTGTAGGTCAACGAAAGCAACCTGTTTGATAAACACACCAAGTCTTGATATGCTGTAGGCACCCCAGAAACCCTGGAATTGGAAAAGCCAGGTACGGGGGCTGGGAAGGTGGCTCAGTGGTAGAGCGCTTGCCTTGCATGCATGAGGCCCTGGGTTCGATTCCTCAGCACCACATAAGCAAAAAGAAAAAAGCTGGAAGTGGCACTGTGGCTCAAGTGGTAGAGTACTAGCCTTGAGCTGAAGAGCTCAGGGACACCCAGGCACAGAGTTCAAGCCCCATGACTGGCAAAAGAAAAAAAAAAAAAAAAAAGGAAAGAAAAGCCAGGTACACCAGGAGCTGCTGGCTCTGAGGGAGTTAATGACAGAGCTGTGTGCCCTGCCTTTCTAAGTGAAGATTAGTTTTCCTCAGCACGAGTTAGAGCCGGCCAGCTGATCTGTCTGGTTTTGCATTTTTCACTTTATTCAGAAGAGTGGGTAATGATTTGCTTTAAGTGGCTAGGTTAGAAGTAGGGTAAGGGATGGAACTTGGAGGATTGTGGGGCTCTTGAAATTGACCTTCATCTTTGTTCAGGTATATATCAAAGTAAAGAGGAGTAAGGTTAGAGGAAAAACAAAGGGGAGGAGGTAGCAATGCTTGATAGGAAATGTATTCATTACTTTGCTCATGTAACTGTAACTCCTCTGTACAGTATTTTTACAATAAAAAACATATAAGAAAAGAGGAGTGGGACTGGGAAGGTGGCTCAGTGGTACAACGCTTGCCCTGCATGCCTGAGGCCCTGGGTTCGATTCCTCAGCACCACATAAGCAAAAAAGAAAAAAAGCCGGAAGTGGTGCTGTGGCTCAAGTGGTAGAGCGCTAGCCTTGAGCTGAAGAGCTGAGGGACAGCGCCCAGGCTCAGAGTTCAGGCCCCACGACCGGACCTCCCAAAAAAAAAAAGAGGAGTAAGGTGATATTTTTACCATTAAATCATTTTGTTGTCATTATTTGGAAGCCTGTGATTATGATGATTATGTAAAAAAATGACCTTTTTCTTTCTGGTTTATGTCCCAGGTGACTTTTCGGTGGGTCACTCCAGATTGTATGTATGTTCATGCACATCGATATGTTCTTCTTTAAGGAATTTTCTTTGATAATCAGGATCTGGGTGAATTTTTTTTTTTTTTGGGGGGGGGGTCCGGTCGTGGGGCCTGAACTCTGGGCCTGGGCGCTGTCCCTCAGCTCTTCAGCTCAAGGCTAGCGCTCTACCACTTGAGCCACAGTGTCACTTCCGGCTTTTTTCTTTTTTCTTATGTGGTGCTGAGGAATCGAACCCAGGGCCTCAGGCATGCAAGGCAAGTGCTCTACCACTGAGCCACCTTCCCAGCCCCTTGAACTCTTGTATTCAGTGTCACTAGGTGGGAATTAGGAATGTGACTTTTCTGTTTTAATCCATGTTTTACTAGATGGGAATTAAGAATCAGACTTTTTTTTTTTTTTTTTTAATTTTTTTTTTTATTTTTTTATTTTTTTTTTATTTTATTTTTTTATTGTAAAGCTACTATACAGAGGGTCACAGTTACATGAGTGAGGTTATGAGTACACTTCCTCTTGAACATTGTTACCCCCTCCATTGTTTTCCCCCTACCATCCCCTCCCTCCCTCCCTTCCCCGAGGTTCTTTTTTTTTTTTTTTTTTTTTGATTGTGATTAAATGATTACATAATTTCAAAGTCACAAGTTCATTCTAACTTCCCTGGAGCAAATTGTCTACCACAGTCTGTAATATATAACAGTGTTCACATGTTATATACCATATTTGTGATCAGCAGCATGAGGATATTTAGTAGTGGTTCAACCAGATGAGCGGGAGTTCTTTGTTTCTTAAGTCCTGTTAGTTTTGTCGTATCACTAACCTTTTGGATTTAGCATCCACTTATGAGGGAGACCATGTACCGTTTGTCTCTTCGTTCTTGGCTTACCTCGCTCAACATGATTCCTTCTAGCTCCATCCATTTCCCTGCAAATGCCATTATTTTGTCATTTCTAATGGCTGCATAATATTCCATTGTGTATAGATACCACAATTTTTGGATCCATTCATCTGTGGTGGGGCACCTAGGTTGTTTCCATATCCTAGCTATTGCGAACAGTGCTGCAATAAACCAGACTTTTTTTATTTTAATCCATGAGTCATTAGATAGGAATTATCTTCCATCTACTTACCTCTCAGATGATAGCATTTGGTTCCCACATCCTTTTTATGTTTTCTACCCATTGCTGGAAGCTCTTGTTTTGGTTTGTCCTGGGGCTTGAACTCAAGGCTAGTGCTCTACCACTTTGAGCCACAGCTCTACTTCTGGCTTTTTTTGTGATGGGGGTTGAACTCTGGATCTGGGCGCTGTCCCTCTGCTCTTCAGCTCAAGGCGAGAGCTCTACCACTTGAGCCACTGTTCCACTTCCGGTTTTCTGAGTGGTTTATTGGAGATAAGATTCTCATGGACTTTCCTGCCATGGCTGACTTTGAACTGTGATCCTCAGCTCTTAGCCTTCTAGCTGGGAAGGTGGCTCAGTGGTAGAATGCTTGCCTCTATGTATGGGGCCCTGGGTTCAATTCCTTAGCACCACATAAACAGAAAAAGCCGGAAGTGGCATTGTGGCTCGAGTGGTAGAGCGCTAGCCTTGAGCTGAAGAGCTGAGGGACAGTGCCCAGACCCAGAGTTCAAGCCCCAGGACAAACCAAAACAAGAGCTTCCAGCAATGGGTAAAAAACCAAAAAACGCATGACCGACAACAAAACAACAACAGCAAAAGAATGGGGCTGGGAAGGTGGCTTAGTGGTAGAGTGCTTGCCTTGCATACATGAGGCCCTGGGTTGGTTCGATTCCTCAGCACCACATAAGCAGAAAAAGCCAGAAGTGGCGCTGTGGCTCAAGTGGTAGAATGCTACCTGAAGAGCTGAGGGTACAGTGCCCAGGCTCAGAGTTCAAGCCCCACGACTGGCCCCTCCAAAAAAATAAATAAATAAATGTCAGTCTCCTGAGTAGCTAGTATTATAGGTGTGAGCCACTGGTGCCTGGCTTGCTGCAAGTTTTATGTTCCAAGAATTTGCACTTCATGAAGACTCTAAATGATTACTGTGATGTTCTAGTTAGTATTATATCAGATGGTGCTAATCTTTTCCTTAAGTTTATCTTTTGTGCGAGTCAAGTACAATGTATCACTCCACATTGGATGTGTTTCCTGTGCACAGGACAATTTGGTTTAGTCATCCTGGTGAGCCAGGTCCAGCCCCTAAGTCTTATTCTAGTTGAAGTATTGTAAGATACTATAACCACTTGTTGCCTGTGAAGCCCTGCTCATTCATACCCATAGGTGGATTTGGTTCAAGTAGCTGTTGATGTAAGTCAAGTACTAGCATGCTGGGTTAAACAAAACATTTTCTAGCAGATTAGAACGTGTGGCTTTCTGGTTAACCAATAACTTCCTTTGTCTGGAAGAAGCCAGTTTTCTTCTTGCCATATATAGGAGTGAGTGACCATGTCAAAGTGTTTCTTACTCTTTTTTTTTTTTTTGCTAGTCCTGGGGCTTGAACTTAGGGCCTGAGCACTGTCCCTGAGCTTTTTGCTCCAAGCTAGCATCTACCACTTGAGCCACAGCACCTCTTCTCTAGCCTTTTTTTTTGGGGGGGGGGGTCAGGTCATGGGGTCTGAACTCTGGGCCTGGGAGCTGTCCCTCAGCTCTTGAGCTCAAGGCTAGCGCTCTACCACTTGAGCCACAGAGCCACTTCTGGTTGTTTTTTTTGTTTGTTTGTTTGTTTATGTGGTGCTGAGGAATTGAACCCAGGGCGTCATGCATGCAAGGCAAGCGCTCTACCACTGAGCCACCTTCCCAGCCCCTCTTCTCTAGCCTTTTCTATTTATGTAGTAAAAAGGAATTGAATCCAGAGCTTCATGCTTGCTATGCAAGCACTCTACCACTAAGCCACATTTCCAGCCTTATTAATCTGTTCTGTGCCTAAATTTCTGGTTTTCAGGGGGTGAAGCCGGCAAGTTTTGACAAAGTAGCAATTCCTGAAGTGAAAGAAATCATTGAAGGTTGCATAAGACAAAACAAAGATGAAAGGTGAGTTGTCCGGTGTTTTGGCTTAAACACAAATTCCCTGCTAAGTGCAGTTTTCATTCTGCACATATTGATGCCTGCCAAGTGCAGTGTTCATTCTGCACAGACTGGTGCCTGCCAAGTGCAGTGCTCATTCTGCACAGACTGATGCCTGCCAAGTGCAGTGCTCATTCTGCACAGACTGGTGCCTGCCAAGTGCAGTGCTCATTCTGCACAGACTGGTGCCTGCCAAGTGCAGTGCTCATTCTGCCCAGACTGGTGCCTGCCAAGTGCAGTGCTCATTCTGCACAGACTAGTGCCTGCCAAGTGCAGTGCTCATTCTGCCCAGACTGATGCCTGCCAAGTGCAGTGCTCATTCTGCACAGACTGGTGCCTGCCAAGTGCAGTGCTCATTCTGCCCAGACTGATGCCTGCCAAGTGCAGTGCTCATTCTGCACAGACTGGTGCCTGCCAAGTGCAGTGCTCATTCTGCCCAGACTGATGCCTGCCAAGTGCAGTGCTCATTCTGCACAGACTGATGCCTATGTTTCTGCTCGCACCGTGGAGCCCCTACCATTGTAGAAGTGAGGCTTAGCGGGTTGAGGTAAGCCAGAACCACCTTAAATGAAGCTTCCGTGAGAGCCGCTTTATAGGCCTTGGTTTCCTGTTCTTACTCCAAAACTGAAGAAGAGCAAAACAGCAAAAGTCCTTTGAGTAAAAAGAGAAGACTTCACCCGAGGCTTGGGAGGAGATCTGGCTCAGACACTGGCACTAACAGGAGTGGCCAGAATCTGATCTGCCATAGAGCTGACTCATCTCCCGTAAGGCAGGGCAAGGGTCCAAAATCTGGTTTTGAAAAATAATCTGCCTTCACCATCCCTGCTTCTGGCCAAAAAAGAAAAAGTATCCAGCCTAATACAAATAGAAATTGTAAATTGACTATAATCTACCCCTGAAAAACGAGAGCAGCCAGGTATATCAACCAAATTAAAGAATTGCTATCTTCATAGCTCTAGTCTCATATTCTTTTCATGACTTTGTTATTTGGAAGAGCTTAATATCATGATCGTAACAACACTTCACTAGGTAGTTTGAGTTTCTGTTTTTATATACACTGCGTCCTTAAAAAAGTAAAAATTCCTTTTACTGCAAACAAAGGAATATTTGTTTTTGGGGATTTATATTATTCTTTGTTTTCTGGATGGAACAGTTTAGTAGATTACTGGTATTTTGAAACTATTTTGTCTAAAGAAAGGTGTTATACAATAGCCTTTCTTGCCTTGTCCACAAATTGAAAAGATTTATAGAGGTAAATAGAGATCTCTCTAGGAGAAGGTGGGAAGCTAGGGAAAAGTTTATTTTGTAGATTTTTCCCGCATTATATCTTGTGCTTGCCTAGTACCTTCTTTTCATATCTCCTTTTTCTTTTTTTTGGCGGATGTGGGGTTTGAACTCTGGGCCTGAGTGCTGTCCCTGTGCTCTTGAGCTCAAGGCAAGTGCTCTACTGCCTGAGACACAGCAGCCACTTCTGGTTTTCTAGTGGTTTATTGGAGATAAGAGTCTCATGGCCTTTCCTGCCCGGGCTGGCTTTGAATTTGAACCTCGATCCTCAGATCTCAGCCTCCTAAGTAGATAGGATTATAGGCGTGAGCCACCAGCATCGGCTCACGTCTACTTTTGATTACATCAATGACAGCTTTAAACCTATGAGTGAGACTCTTAACCTCTTTGAGCCTTTATTTCATAATGACAAGGGGATAGCTCCTTGGGTATTTGTTGTTGTTGCTAGTTAAAAAATGCTGTATAAAGGGTTCAGTGGTACTTTGATACTTTGAAATTTTATGCATCCCTTGTCATAGCCCTAATGAGATTGTATTATTTGATTTTAAAATTATTACTATTACCTCTTACTCATAAAATGGATTATGTCATTGAATAACTTAGGAGTATGACTGTTCAAATCATGTTCAAATAGACTAATGTCTAGACAAATGAGTTACAGGCTTTTCCTTATCTTATACAGTCTTATATAATTAACAACCAGATACATTTGAAAGTTCTTTGTTCAAGGTGCCATGATGAATGCCTATAGTTCTAGCACTTGCGAGGCTGAGGCAGGAGGATTGCCTGAGCTCAGGAGTTTGAGGCCACACTGGCAGCATAGTGAGGCCCTTTCTCAAATAAAATTATCTTTTCTTCTCTCTCTCTCTCTCTCTTGCTCTCTCTTGCTCTCTCTCGCTCTCTCTCACTCTCTCTCGCTCTCTCTGGACAGTCATGGGGATTGAACTCTGGGCCTGGGCGCTGTCCCTCAGCTCGAGGCTAGCCCTCTACCACTTGCCACAGTGCCACTTCTGGTTTTCTGGTAGTTTATTGGAGATAAGAGTTTCACGGCTTTTCCTGCCCAGGCTGGCTTTGAACCATGAACCTCAGATCTCAGCCTCCTGAGTAGCTAGGATTACAGGCATGAGCCACCGGCACCTGGCGAAAATTTTCTTTTCATAGTACTGATACTGTGTTTCTCTTCTCTCTCTTTGGAAGATATTCCATCAAAGATCTTTTGAACCATGCCTTCTTCCAGGAGGAAACAGGGGTACGGGTAGAATTAGCTGAAGAAGACGATGGAGAAAAGATAGCTATTAAGTTATGGCTGCGTATTGAAGATATTAAGAAATTAAAGGGGAAGTACAAAGACAATGAAGCTATTGAATTCTCCTTTGACTTGGAGAGAGATGTGCCAGAAGATGTTGCTCAAGAAATGGTAAATTGACACTAATCAACCATTTAGCAGTTGCTGTACATTTATATATTTCAAAGTCTTTGAGGTTGAATGACTAATAATTTGCATAAGTCTTCAGTTCTAAGGAAAGTTATAATTTTAGTTTGCTTCTTTTGGAGTAGTTTATTTGAGACAGGATCTTCATATATAGCCAGGATGGCTTTGAACTAAAATTTCTCCTTCTTCAGCCTCTCTAGTGCTAGAATTATAGGCATGTGCCACCATTTGCCACTTAAAAGTTGTTTCTATCAGTTAACCTTAGACTCATAATTACAGAAGCCTTATAAAACAATGTGAAGCTATCAACTATTTTTTACTTTGAAAGTTTTCCAGATTAATTGTTAGTAGTTTTTGGTATACTCTCACCTCCGGTATATGTAAAAGATCACTTTTGCTAACAGGATAACCTTTTACCCCTTTACCAAGTTAGGTTTGCTAAAGTGCCTAAAATAGCCAGTTATGCCAGGATGTTCATAGAATATGCCTAGTGTGAACCATACAGCAGTAGTTGCCTGTTAGCGTCAGGTGTAAAAGCAATGCTTGGTGTGTGCGTGCTCCCACATGTGCGCACGTGCCTGTGTTCCTGTCTGCCTGTCATGGGGTTTTGGGTTTTTTTTTTTTTGGTTGGTCGTGGGGCCTGAACTCTGGGCCTGGGCGCTGTCCCTCAGCTCTTCAGCTCAAAGCTAGCGCTCTACCACCTCAGCCACAGCGCCACTTCCAACTTTTTCTGCTTATGTGGTACTGAGGAATCGAACCCAGGGCCTCATGCATGCAAGGCAAGCCCTCTACCACTGAGCCACCTTCCCAGGCCTGGACTATCCCTGTGATTTTGTTCTCTACCACTTGACCCACAGCTATACTTCAGGCTTTGTGTTGGTTAATTGGAGATAAAAATTTCACCGATTTCCTTACCCAGACTGGCTTTGCACCGCATTCCTCAGATCTCAGCCTCCTGACTAGCTAGGATTGCAGGCATGTGCTGTTGGTGCCTGGCACCGTTGGTTATTTTTGTAGTAGGGCCTGGTTTTATGCCCAGGCTAGCCTGTCCTGCAGCCCTCCTATTTGTGCCTCTTGGTATCCCTGGGGATGACAAGCACACACCACTGCCGGCCACTGTGCTTCCCCAGAGCTGGGATTATAGCCATACATGACCCATCCCACTCCGGCTAAGATGGAGTCACCAGCTTTTTATTGGGGCTGACCTTGAACCATAATCCCTTGAGCTCTGCCTCACCGGTGGTTAGGAATACAGGCTTGAGCCACCACTATTCCTGGCACGTACGCACGTGCGCGTGCGCACTCTCTCTCACACACACACACACACACACACACACACACACGTTATTGGTAGTTTGCTTTTTTTATTGCTTGAGTTTTTTGAGTGTGTGCCAGTCTTGGGGCTTGAACCCAGGGTTTGGGTGCTGTTCCTTGAGCCTTTTTGCTAAAAGCTAGTGCTCTGTAACTTGAGCCACAACCCTACTTCAAGATTGTTAGTGGTTAATTGGAGCTAAGTCTCATGGACTTTCCTGCTCAGGCAGACTTTGAACTGAGATCCTCAGATCTCAGCCTCCTGAGTAGCTAGGATTATAGGTGGGGGCCACTGGCACCTGACTTACTGGTTTTTTTTTCTTTTTTTAATTTTTAAAGTAGTTGTACAAAGGAGTTTCAGTTTCACAAGTCGGATTATGAGTACAGTGTATTTTGATTGATGTTACCCTTCAATTCTCCCCATTCTTCCCAGTCCCATCCATACCCTCAAGTTGTATAGATGAACTTTTACATAATGTACATTTAATATAATGACTGTATTTCATCACCCTTAAACACATACACTTGTCACCATTGTTTCAGCTGGATAAGAGGTTGCCTATTGAAAGGACGAAGAGCAGTTAGAATTGTGAACATCCACTGGAGTAGACTCGTAGAATGGCGGCACCCGCAGGGGGGCACCCACCATGGCGGTGGGAAGTGTGTGCCACAGGGCAGCCATAGCAGTGGCCATCACCTCCCCGCTGTCTGTGGTGCCTTTGTTGGTTTCATTGTTCTTTTGATACCCCATTTCTTTCTGTAGGTAGAGTCTGGGTATGTCTGTGAAGGTGATCATAAGACCATGGCTAAAGCTATCAAAGACAGAGTGTCGTTGATTAAGAGGAAACGAGAGCAGCGGCAGCAGGTGCGGGAGGAGCAGGAGAAACGAAGACAGGAAGAGAATGGTCTCCGGCAGCAGGTGGAGCAGCAGTCGAGTGCTTCCCAGACCAGCGCCCAGCAGACCCCTCCTGCTGGCACCGGCGCACCTACGGCCCCCACCACCTCTGCGTCCGTGTCGACGCAAGTAGAGCCTGAAGAACCCGAGGCAGACCAGCATCAACAACTACAGTATCCACAGCCCGGTGTATCTGTGCTGTGTGAGTGTTTGGGGTACAGATGAACATGCTAGTGAATTGTGCTGGGTAGTGTCCTGTTTTGAATGATTAATTCTGTGTATAACTTAAAAATGTATGAAGTGGTTGCTGTCTTCTGTTTTTATTCTCATGCCCATGACCAGTAGAACAGAAGGATGAGACATTGAGGAAACGTCAGTAAGATATGAAATAATCTCAACTGTTATAACATTTTGGGTGTTCATATTTAAGGATTATAATTCTAAAAAGTTTAAAATAAGTGGCAATTAATGAAGAACGAACAAGTTAGCTACTTCAGGTTATTCCTACTAACCTAGTTTGGTTCTTGTAGCAAAGGTAAATGGTAAATCGACTAAACATTAATGAGATCAAGAGTTATTAAATTAACTGCTTAATACCAGGTCACAAGTCTTCCTAAGCAAACTTTTGAAAGCTAGATTAAAGTTAAGATTTCCTTACAGGGGCTGGGAAGGTGGCTCAGTGGTAGGGCACTTGCCTTGCATGCCTGAGGCCCTGGGTTCGATTCCTCAGCACCACATAAGCAAAAAGAAAAAAGCAGGAAGTGGTGCTGTGGCTCAAGTGGTAGAGCGCTAGTCTTGAGCTGAAGAGCTGAGGGACAGCACCCAGGCCAGAGTTCAGGCCCCTCGACCAGATCCCCCCCCCCAAAAAAAGATTTCCTTACAATATTCCCCCCCTTTTTTTCAGATGATACTAAATTTTAATTATTTAGTTGTTTTTGGCCAGTCCTAGGACTTGAACTCAGGGCCTGGATGCTGTCCCTGAACTTCTTTTGCTCATGGCTAGCACTCTACCACTTGAACCACAAAGCCACTTCTGCCTTTTCTGTGTATGTGGTACTGAGGAATCAAACCCAGGTTTCATGCATGCTAGGCAAGCACTCTTACCACTAAGCCACCTTCCCAGCTCTGTGAATTTTTTTAAGTTTAAAACTTCTCCCCTATGCCAGGCGCCAGTGGCTCACGCCTGTCATCCTAGCTACTCAGGAGGCTGAGATCTGAGGATCACAGTTCAAAGTTAGCCCAGGCAAGGAAGTCTGAGACTCTTATCTCCAGTTAACCACTCAGAAAACCAGAAGTGGTGCTGTAGCTCAAGTGGAAGAGCCTCAGCCTTAAGCTGAAGAGCTCGGGGACAGTGCCCACGCCCAGAGTGCAAGCTCCACAACCAACCAAAAAACCCCAAAACTTCTCCCCTATATGATTTCCTTATTTAAATATAGACAGTTAATAAGATAGATCTCCATTCTTTTTTTAAAAAAATTTAGTTTATTTTGTGCAAAGAAGTCAGTTAACCCTGATGTAAAGTGGTTAGGAAAATGTCAGCTTCCTTTATGATCATTCTCATCCCCTCCCATGGTTGGGTTCTTCTCCAGCGGATGGGACCATTGACAGTGGTCAGGGATCGTCCATCTTCACGGAATCTCGAGTGAGCAGCCAGCAGACAGTGTCATTTGGCTCCCAGCATGAGCAGGCACACTCAGCAGGTGCAGTTCCAGGGCACACAGCTTCTCCTGTGCAAGCACAGTCACAGACCCACGGGGTCTATCCACCCACAAGCATGGTGAGTAGATGCACAGCACACTCTGGTAATGAGACTCCCAAGTAGAAAATAGAGGCAAATGGTATGCAGTCAGCCCTCTGGATTTGTGGGCTCAACAGTGGTAAATTCAAACACTAAAATGCTAAAGAAAAAAAAGTCTGTTTTGACACAGCATTTACACTGAATATCATCAGCAATGTGAAGAGGCTTCGGGGTTCACAGGAAGATGTTTGTAGGTTCGGTGGGAACATTGCCCCACTTTTTTTGAGACCTGGGCACCTTGCAGGTTCTGGTATGGTAGGGGCACTTGGAACCACTCAGCCCCCGTAGACACTGAGGGGCGGCTGTGTCCGCAGGGCAGCAGACGCTGTGCAGCCGGAGTGTCGACACGGCAGTGTGTGAGAAGCAGCTGAGTGCTGAGCTGCCCACGTGAGGCGGCTATGCCCAGGTGTAGACAGAGTTTTCCACACTGCACAGGGAAACTGTTCAAAGGACCATCAACTAGACATGCAGATAATTTGGGGGTGGGGCAAGGAGAGTTTTCTTTAAAAGCTTATTTAAATAATAAGTGTTTTCTGTAAGATTTCATATCTTATAAAGAGACAGGTAAGCCTTTGAACCATTCCAGAATGTTGCATGTCAATATAGTGAAGGACCCTGTATTTGTATGACCATTTCCTTCAGCGCTTGTATTGAGTTTGATCATCAGTTGCTATGCGTGTTTTTGCCTTTAAAGTCTGTGTTGAACAGAGGTTCCTTCCCCAGTATACGTTCATTTGCTGTTCCCTTTATTTGGTATCTGTTTTATTACTGATTATTTTTGGAGCTAGTTTGCAGAAGTCATTTCAAAACTATTTGCTGGTCTGTGTATAGATGTATACATATGCATTATTACTCCCTTTGCTTGTCATGAGAATGTTAGAGAGGTTGGTCATCAAATAATAGACCTCGTTTTCACTAGCTGATTCCAAAATACACCAGAGGCCTCAGAAAGGACATGGTGATAGTAGCTAGTCATTTTATAGCACTTGTCTTGGGTACTGAGCTCTTTACGTAGACTGATTCTTTTTCACTTCACGAGGCTTTTACTCTGAATGTTATGGATTCTTGTTTCTCATTAAAGGAAAATCTTTTCTCTGAGAATACTTTTGCTTGCTCTGGTCTTCTGTGCTTGAAATAGAAGATATTTGTTTCAAGTCCATTGCTCAGTCCTGCTTTGGCTAGGTCTTCGGATGAATGGCTGTAGTAACACAAAGAAACCCACTAACACACTACTTTTTTTTTTTTTTTAACTGTCTAACCTTCAAGGGCACTCAGAGAGCCAAATTGCTTTATAATGACTACACAGAAGGTCTGTTCCTGTGTTTTGGCAAATATTACTTGTCAGCATTTCTTAACCAGTTTCTATCTTTGTTCTAATAGATTTTTTTCTTTTCCCCTGAAACATGAAATTAGATTTTCAGACTATGATTTCTTACTCTTGACTTCCCTCATTACAGGGTTACAAATATTGATCTCTTCTATATTGATCACTTATGAGGGCATTACATGCTTGAACCACTAACATAGCTACCTTTAGCAGGTATTCTCAAAGCAGGTGGAACTCTTATCTTTTAATGACAGTATTCTGTGGAGGTATTTTGAAGAATTAAGGAAGTTTATAATTGTTCTTATGCTAGAAAGGATTCACCAAGGCTTACAATGATACATAAAACTTGTAACTGACATTTTAAAAATTAGAGAAAGAAACTAGGGCTAAAAAAATGGAAACAGTAAAGTATCATGATGATACATAGTGGTACTTGGGCATAGGGCCTTCTTTGCAGCCAGTTTGGGAAAAGGAAACAAACATAACTCAGGCAGCCTTTCTCAGACCCGCTGTTCACAGGCAGCAGCAAACACTTTCTTTTGAGCTTAAGACTAGTAAATCTAAGTTTAATTTCAGCTATCCTAGGAAAACACTGAAGGTGTTTAGCAAGAGTAAAAAATATTTCCTATATCCTGTTGTAAATTTCTTCAGGAATGCTGTACTTTTTCCTTAGTAGATAATGATTTTTACTTTTGCAGCAAAAGATTGGCAAGAGTACTAAAATACTGTAAGCTAACCACTTTTTACTCTGATGCATTCTAAAATAGAAATAAGAATCCTTTCCTCAAGTTTCCACAGTTCTTGCAAAATGATCTCTTAAAATCTCCCCAATCTTGTAATATACTATACTTCAACCTAATAGAATTCATTCCTCTTTAATCTTGCTAAGTTTACAGAAACTGTAAACCGATACTCATCATTTTCTCTATCTGCTACTTTCAGTCTTACTATTCACACACTTGTAATGGTGGGTGTTTCAGAATATTCAGGAATTGTGGGAAACACTGGAGTAGGGAGGATAGTTGAGATCTGTCCAGGTGCTTTGGGGGTCAGGGTGTGGGGTGGGGAGGATGGGACATTTCTTCATGCTCACTGCCCTGTTACCACTGTGTATTGTGTTGTTCTGTTTTCACGTGTGTTTGTTTTCTGTTTAGCCTCGTCGTGGCCATAGCATGTCGCTTTGTGTTCCCCATCTCTGTGCTGTTCCTTCTCTGTCCTGCGTCCCTCCCAGCGTTCCTTCCCCCCCACCATCAGTGCTAGCTGCGCCTCCTTCTCCTCCCCTCCTTCGGACTGCCCCTGAGGAAAGTTTTGCCGAAAAGCTCTCTAGAGCCCTGGAGAGTGTCCTGCCCATGCACTCTGCCTCTCAGCGCAAGCACCGACGCTCCAGCCTGCCCTCCCTCTTTGTCACTACTGTATGTAACTCAGTTATTACCCGCAAATACATCCAGGCACCAAGACTCGATAGAGAAATTGAACGTAGAGCAAGATGAAACTATTAACTTGAATATGTGCTTTAGAATAATCATTATTCCTATAGGAAATATTTTGTAATCAGGGTCTTAAGGAGAATAAAAATCAAGGAGGTAATAAGAAGGAATACTTACAGTCTTATAGTGTGCACGTATCAACATATACCCAATAAAATTTAGCTTTTATCAAAAAAATTTTTAGCTTTTATTATATTATCCTCCACACACAAAGTTTTTGTATTTTCATGTCATAGCAAAAGGCATTTATATTGTTTAACTTTACAACTGATTATTGGCATAACCAACAAAACAACTATCAAACATTACCCAAATGTTTTGGTTTCCTCCTTAGTTTATTTTTAAGGGATAGTATTGAAGCTTAATGAGTGTTCCCTCCCCCCTTTTTTTTTGGCCAGTCTTGGGGCTTGAACTCTGGGCCTGGGCGCTGTCCCTGAGCTCTTTTTCACTCAAGGCTAGCACTCTACCACTTGAGCCATGGTGCCACTTCAGGCTTTTTCTATGATTAAGAGTCTCACAGACTTTCCTGCCTCAGTCTGTTTTTTTTACCCTAGTAAAGAACAATTGAAGAGTGAAAGTTGACTTGAATGTAACCATTCATGTAAAATAATCCTTCAAACTACAAGTTGCAAAATGTTTCCTCATAGGATGTATTTTTTTCTTGAGTTGAGTAGGATGGGGCCTGGATGCTAATTTTATTTAGTATATATGACTTTCTTTGGCTCCATTAATGTCTGTGATTTTCTTCTAATTGCGTTAAGTTCTGTGGGACCTTGCTACTGCTTTTCCAGACAGAATAACTTAATAACCCCAACTAGCAGTCCTATAACCTTCAGTTTTTTTTTTTTTAAATTAAGATGATTATATAATGTTACATAGATTTAGGACATATCTTGAATAAACAGTCAGTAAAATGAATGTTCTGATTTGAAATAGAAATTCTTTTTTAGCCATTTTGAATATTTGAATCACTTTGCTTATGAGATGGGCATCTTCTCTAATCCGAATGGAGCTGATCTCCTTAAAAGGAGTCATGCATTGCTGTAGTGTGTATTGTGTTTGATGAGCTAGGATTCTACATTTAATCTTACATCAGAAATTGCTTCTAGAAACAAAATGTACTCCTAAATTAAATGGGCTGATCCTTTTATTATCCATTTCACCTGATTTAGAGACTTGATACCAGGTCAGTAAATTCATGGCCTTTAGTCCTAATCATTTCTCAAAAAAGTCAATTTTTGGTGATTGGCATCTTTAACCTGTTTTATGTACCAGTAAAGCTGTTTTATTTTTCCCACAGTAATGAAATATCTTTGAGATATGAGGAAGATAAATTATCTTTCTGTTGTTTTTGGTTAATTTGGAGGCAGAGTATAGCTATGTGGCCCAGGCTAGCCTGGCCCTCAGAATCCTCCTGCCTAGCCTGCAGAATGCTGGGATTACAGGTGTGTACCTACCTACTAGGTTCATGTGTCTTTATAAACCACCAAAGAGCTCCTCCGATTTCTAGTATTGGGGTTTGAACTCCAGGCCAGTGTTAGCAAGGCAAATGCTCTACCACGTGAGCCCCACTTCCAGCCCCCTGATTTCCGTTTAGAAGACATATTATTAGTGAATGAAAAATAACCCATTTAACAGCACAGGATAGTAAGAATGTAAGAAACTTAGCACTGAAAAGTATTTTTACCCTTTAAAAAATACATTATTACCCGTTAACATTTGTTTTTCTTTCACATGTCTTAAGAGCAGACATTAATTTTAGGTAAAATGGAATAAGCACTTAGGAAGTTTAGTCTTCTTTCCCTTTGAGTCAGGAAAGTTGCAGAAAAGCAGCTCTTATCTGATGCAAAGAGTCCCACAGACTGATTTATTGGCCCTGGATGTATTTAATGGGTTTTTGATTTTGCACATAATTTCCAGAAGCCTCGTTACTTCCTTATTAGAGTTGGTGTAACCGTTTCACAGGGTTACACAGAACTGTCCAGTTGTGCATGTCTGTTGTAATTTCACATATGAATGTATGAATTACTTGTCTTATTCATGTTGATACAGCCTCAGTCCGTGGCGCATCCGTGTGGGGGGACCCCAACATACCCAGAGTCACAGATATTTTTCCCAACTATTCATGAACGTCCAGTTTCTTTTTCACCACCTCCCACCTCTTCACCGAAAGTAGCCATTTCCCAGCGGCGTAAGAGCACCTCCTTCCTGGAAGCCCAAACTCGCCACTTCCAGCCCCTGCTGAGGACAGCTGGCCAGACTCTCCTTCCACCTGGTGGCAGCCCGCCTAACTGGACACCAGAGGCTGTGGTTATGTTGGGTGCCGCAGCCGGCAGAGTCCCTGGAGAGCTGTGTGAGTTACAGGTCGTCCCCGCCTTTGAGCCAGCTCCAGCATACAGTGACTACAGACCAGGCCTGGTGCTACCAGAAGATGCTCACTATTTCATTCCTCAGGAAACAGTGTATCTAGCCGGGGTCCATTATCAGGCCCAGATGGCAGAACAGTATGAGGGCTTCTCCTACAGCTCACCAGTGCTTTCAACTCCTGTGAAACAGATTCCCGAGCAGAAGCCAGTGCAAGGGGGGCCCACCCTAAATTCCGTCTTTGACTTTCCATCGGGGCAGGCTTTCCTGGTAGGACACGTTCAGAATTTGAGGTTAGAGTCTGCGTTGAACTCAGCATCTCCCCTCTCTAGTTCTTCTGCACCTAACAGCACAGACGCTGCACGTCTAAAATTCCACCCTGTCTTTATTCCTCATTCTGCACCAGCTGTGCTCACTCAGAGCTCTGAGGGCAGAAGCAACTGTGTATTCGAATTTCACGCCCAAACACCAAGCTCCTCTTCGGGAGAAGGAGGTGGGATTTTACCTCAACGTGTCTACCAAAATTTCCAGGCTGCAGTGGACTCGGGACAGGAAGACACACCTTCTCAGTCGGTGGGGTCACACAGCCACCTGCAGCCCGGGACCGAGCAGCGGGGCCACCCTGTCCCCGAGCTGACCATTTCTATGGAAGAGCCTACTGGACAGAACTGGCCGATAGGGAGCCCAGAATACTCCAGTGACTCTTCACAAATCACTTCTTCAGACCCCAGTGATTTTCAGTCACCTCCCCCTACAGGAGGGGCTGCTGCACCTTTGGGCTCGGACGTCTCATTATCCTTTATCCGTCTGCCTCAGACAATGTTTCAGGAGCCCCCGCTTCTCTTCTGTTTCCCCCAAGGAACCACATCGCAGCAGGTCTTTCCTGCCTCGTTTCCCTCAGGAGGATCTGCACCCCACCCACAGGTTATAGGAAAACTTCTGCAGTTCTCTTAAACTACCCTACTGTGCACCGTTGCATTCCCTGAATTGGGGTTTTCTGAAGGATAGTTTCTCTATCTTTTGGAGGTCATAACTTCTTTGTACCTAAGAACAAACTATGAAGGCAGCAGCTACCTGATTGGCTTGCTAAACAGTCAGTCATCCTCAGTGACTGCTCTCCCTTGTAAATGGAATTTTCAATTAGTAGTGAAAATGTAGTTGCCTTTAACGTAAGGTTGATTTAGCATTGGTTATTTATAAGGTTATACTAAAGTAAAATACTCTAAACAATGTTATTATTTTTTAAAAATACACAAAAAAGTAACTATAAGATGAAAATGGAGAAGTGAAAACTCTTTGGAATGCTAGTTAAAAGCACAGATTTTTTCATTAGTATTGAGGATGTAAGTGACAGGTGGACTTATTAACAAATGAATGCCATTTTGAAATGGTATCAAAACAAATTACTATGTTTTAAACGCCTAGATAATTTAGAAAATTAAGGGCTGATTCTGATTTTAGTGTTAAGTTAGAATCTAGATGGTGGGTCTTTTTACTTTTTTGCTTGAAGAATTTAAAATACTCAAGTCAGGAAGAGTAGATGTCTCAGGCTGTGCTGTCTCAGATTTTAGTTGTGTGTATGCGTATGTACTCAGGATGTAGATAACGCCAAAGGGAAGGGACTCAGGATTAAAGAAATGAGGCCTATTTCATACATTCTTTTGACATGTGTCAAGTGTATGTGTAGTCTACACAAGAGACTACACAATTGGATATCATTTGAATTTTCCATACATTTTATTTTTTATAAAGTACTATATACTATACCTGCTTTCTTCCCCTATTCTCCCCCAGCAAAGGCATAAGCAACTCCAAAAATGTACCTAGACTATCAGATTAGTATTTGGAAGCAAAAAAGAGAAAAGATCCTGAAACTTGACTGCCTCGGCATTCTGCAAACCCCCATGAGCTGTCAAATTGTCAACCCCTACTGTGCTTGCTCAGGCATTCTTGAAGCTTTCCAAAGTAAAATTTCAAGTGCAGACTCTTAAGCTGCCGTGGAAGGTGATACATTCACATAAGCTTTCAAGAACCTTTTCCAAATTGAAATGGAACAACAAAGATGTGGCCTTTCATGTCCTCTTTCTAAATGTCTATCTGGTCCTACGTGCGTGTCACCCTTGCTCATTTATTTCAATTCCCATGTCTTTGTAGTTGGAGCCCTGTGGATGTTCTGGGTTGGATCAGGGTCTCCTGCGCATCGCAGAGCGTTTAGCAGCCCCCTGGCCTCTGCCCACCAGTGGTTAGCAGCGGCAGCCCTCTCCAGTAGTGACGGGCAGAAATGGCTCTAGCTGCTGCCACCTGTCCCCTGCCAACAGCCATTGCTGTGCGTTATTAGGAAATGGATTATACCTGATTGGCTGTTTCTGATTTTAAAAACATTCCCTGTGGCACTAACAAGGTATAGAACCAAGATGGCATCCTCAAATACTCTTTCTCCTTAAACGTTCAGATTAAATTTTGTTTTCTGCATTGATAACTTTATTACTGTTGTAATGGTTTTATTGTGGATCTGACAGGCTAAAATGAGAGTCTGAGCTGTGGTAGGTTACGTTTAACTACCAGCTGATTTCCAAAATGGGTTGAGATAAGATATGTGCTATGTTCTTGATGTGAACTTCTTCTCACAAAGCTACCCCAAGGCCCCAAGGATGTCCCCCATAACATCCTCAGTCAAGTTAATGTGTCACTTTGGTTAAGCAAACATCTCAGGAGCTTGAGTGTTGCAAGAAACCTGACCTGCACGCCCTCCCCTTACGTTTTGCTCCAGTGTGTGTCTGTTTTTTGCCTTTAGGCACAGGGACAGAGCCAGAGCCAGCCGTCCTCAAGTGGCTTGACAGGGGCTCCATCTTCCCAAACCACCCAGCATCCTCCTCAGGTAAGAGGTGCCTTGCTGCTTCTTACACATGTCTGTCTTTTGTTAGATTTATTTATTTATTTTTTAAACGTCGGTCATGGGGCTTGAACTCTGGGCTTGGGTGCTGTCCCTCAGCTCTTCAGCTCCAGGTGAGCTGAGTGCTCTACCACTTGAGCCACAGCTTTACTTTCTATATCTGTCTTTTGTAAGTAACATTGCTGGTGCAGTTCACTAGGTTTTTTGAAAAGGAAGTAAATACTTCTTTTAATTAACAAGCATTGAATAAAACCTAAGGATCAACTCCAGCAGGGTGATGGTTTAGGAACACCATATCCTGGGAATGCTGTAAACGTAGGTGCTAGTGTTGTTTCCATTTTACTGATGTGAAAGCAGAGACCTGGAGATGGTTGAGTAACTTAAAGTTTGCAAGAGGTGCACATAGTTTGAATCTGCACGTGCTGTGACTCCACAACTCACCATTTAAACTACTTAACACAATCCAATTAGGTCCCCTGTTCCCTGAGCCATGGGGGGATATTGGGAAGGCTTTATGGCAGGTGGGGTTTGGAAGAGTTATTTGGCTAGGGTATCTCAATGTCTTTGCAAACACCTGCTGTTGTGGTGAGAGCAACATTGGGTTAGTAAATCTAATGGTGGCTCAAGGTTTGAACAAGGGCTTACGTCTGAGGAAAATTCTGTGAGGGGATTTGGGAGTGGAGGGTTTGACTTAAGGGAATTGGTGAATTTGTGTTTTTGCATGACTTACTGAAATTATAATTTACAGATATTGGAGGCTTTACTTAAGTAAATTAATGCTGATTTGAAGTGAAACAGAATTACTGGCTGAGCCTGGGTGGTACATATCTGTAATCCCAGCTACTCGAGAAGCAGAGGGCAGAAGGGTCACTTTTTAAGACCCAGGAGTGCAAGACGAGCCCAAGCAACATAGCAAATTCTTGTATCAAAGCATCCAAATCAGTGTTTCCCTCTTGCAACAGGGAGTTCAGCAGACAGCCCCTCCTCAGCAGGCTGTGCAGTATACACTTGCGCATGTGGTCCCCTCCAGCGATGCTGCTCCCGCCCAGCCCACGGGTCAGCCTCCAGCTCCAGCGTCCGCTGGAAAACAGGTACACGCTACATTGCTGAAGCACATCCTCTGTAAGACTCCGCCTCCTCTCCTGATAGTGAAGCGTCTGCTGAAGTTGCTCAGTCTACTGTGATAGGAAAGCAAAA